CCGGCACCCACTTTTCTATATTTTCATGGATTCCAGCCAAGAGGCGAAATCCTGTTTTGATCCATCCTCATGTTTCCCTTAGCCCTGTTTTTAGATGGCCGGCTAGATCCTCCATGCATGTCACATCTCTCTCCGATTTTGGGTATAACTTTCTGCAAACAGCACAACACTGCTATTAGAGGAAGCAAATGTAAACAAAAACCCCTCAAAACAGGCTTTACTTGGAGAATTTAATGCCTCTGTGACTGACGTGCGATTTCGATACTGCGTAGTACTGGAGTTATCTTTGTATGCCACGTTTTCAGGTGGCTCTTCTGATTGCTGACTGTCCTCAGACTTGTATGCTACCATGTTAAGTCCTATATTCCTTTTTTTAAAATAGTCAATACCACTTCCACTAATGAACGCTCGGCTGCAGAAGGGCAGAGTAGCCAAAGATTCAGCCCTTACCGTAAATCCGATGCCCACAGTGGCAGAAAAAGAGCCGGGAATGAACTTGCCCTGGTCAAACTGAACCAGCAGTGATGTCTTCCCCACTCCACTGTCTCCGACCAGGATAGTCTGTAAGAATCAAAGAGAGAGCCATTAGCATCCCCTGGTAAGTGACTCAGGAAGCTGAGAACTGCCTTTGCTGTCTGGGCCTCCGCAGGCTTCTCTGATATATATCCTCTGCACGCTGCGTGGGGGAGATCATGGCAGTTCCGTGCCCCCTTTTCCCCACGTTCCTACAGCTGGGTTATTTGTTGCTTGTGACGTGCCTGGATCCCTCTGAACACATTCTGAGCTGGTGTAAATTGCTGTAGCTCTGTTGAAGTCAATGGAGTGATGCCAATTTCCACAAGCTAAGGAGCTAGTTCCTAGGGTCTGATTCTGCCCTCAGGCCGCCTTTACGCTAGCTTGACTCCAATGACTCCTTTAGTTACTCCTGATTTACACCAACGTATGTGAGAATCAGTCTCACGGCTTCTCTGAGGGAGCCAAGCAGCAGCAAACACCCAAGTGCTGAGGGTGAGGGAACTGACCCAGCCGACTGTCGTTAACTCTCAAGCACCAGGGAACTGGAAAGCTCTGTTCCGAGTCCTTAGCCAGCACCCTGGGGCCAGAGCCCACTTGGGATCACTGGGCTCAGGCGACTCACTGCCAGTCAAAGTTGGGCTCTTGAATCTCTAAATCCCTCTTGGGACGTAGCCATCTAAACGCCTAGGGCTTGCAGCGCTGAGCAGCACAGCGCCTCAGCACCTGTAGAAACCAGAGCCCAGCACCCTCAGCTCCCACGCACTTCAGCTCAGCCTTGTCAGTGCATCGCAGGAGGTGCCTCGCACCGCCCGGGACCAGTACTGGGAGTGCATTAGCCATGAGTGTGGCCTGGGCAAGTGACAATGAAGTACAGGGAAGGAGTCCCATTGACTGCCATGGGTGCTGGATCAGACCCCAGGGCTGCAGCCCATTGGAGTCAATGGGAGTTTTAGGGGGAGCTGGATTATACTATATGTGAGAAAAGATGCGGGTGTGCATAGGACTTAGGGCGTATGTGGGTGTGTAAAGAGTCTTTCATGATCATGCTAGCTCCTCACATCCTCATATTCTCCAGGGAGTCCTCCTCCCTCCCTTTGAAATGCGTCCCTAACGCCTCTGTTCTGCCGCGGCCCTGCCACTGTACAGAGCTCTCCTTTGTTCCTGACGGTAGAGCTGAGCAGGGCTCATAAAACAGTGGTCCCTGAAGCCAGGAGACCGTTACCTTCTTACACCCAACCTTCCTGTTCCTCTTTCCCTCGGGCACAGAGTTTTGTGAAAATCCAACCGCATCTAGCTATGTGGTCACAGCGTCTGATCAACAGCTTTCATATGCAGATATCGGCTCCTGCTAACACAGAGCCCCCCCAGAGGAGCTGGTCAGCCCGACTTCCTCTTTCTCTGCCTCTGTGGTGGGGAGCCTATTCCGCATGGCTCTCCTGGTGAATTCTCAGTGAGCTCTGAAATAACCGAGTTCCGACACGAAAACCATCCAGTCCCGCATATTAACCGCGCAGAGCAGTGCTACCCAGAAGCCAGCCCTAGAGATGGAGAATTATGATGGCTCCCTGGGCTTCTCTCCTTTCAGATTCAGCAGGATGCCACCGTCCCACAATAAACTCCTGCCTCATGGCCTGAGAAATGTTATGAACAGAGCCCCTCATTTAAACTGATCCACTCTCCCTGGGCCCTTCCTTTTCTCTGACTCTCACCAATGTGCTTCCTGAAAGCATGGTTCCACTCTGGAAAATGACCCCATAAAAATGCGGGGTGCCATGTTTGCATCCATGTTTATTCCAATATTTTTTTCCCCAGCTGCAGTCCCTGCAAACTCAACCTAGGATTCAAAAGTCAGGCTAGATTCTCTCCTTCTTGCATATTGTCACCAGTAATAAAAGTGATGCCGGCCCTAATTTACCCCCATGCAATGCCATCATCTTCAGATTGTATCCTCATTTATGCTCGATGTAGTGTATATAATAGCGTAGTATCCCTTTAAGTAGTTTGTGAGCCCTCTAATGATGCTCACCATGTTCCGTTTTAGAAGCCACCAGAGCCCAATTGGATCAGCAGTGTGTTTATCTGTAGCTAGGCCTCTAATCTTACGTACATTCAGCAAATACAATTATTTGGTCCCCACTGTGCCCATGTGCTTCCTTTATTTTGTTTGTTGCCTGAACAACAACAAAACACCCAACACCTGGGTAACCTCACATGCAAATAGGTTTGCACAGGTGTAACTGATTGGCTCTGTAATGGGAATTTAGCATTCGTTTCTGGTGGTGATGCAAAAGGAGGAATAGAATCCAGACCCCCAGTGCCCCTGACCCTTAGCCGTGCTGGCTTGGCAGGGCTAACAGGAGTAAACTAAGTAGTAAAACCTTCTTTTTGTCACTAAAGTCAGCACCTACAACTCTGACAGTGGAAGGAAGAAAGTGTCAGTTTTACATGCTCTCTTTTTAGAGCAAAACTGGATGTTAATGACACCACTTAGCTTTTATCTGGTGCTTTTCATCCATAAATCTCAAAGCCCCTTACAAAAGTGGTCAGTGTCATTATACCTGTTTTACTGAGGGGGTAACTGAGGCATGGGAAAGTGAAGTGACTTGCTAAAGGTCACCCAGCAGCCCAGTGGCAGTGCCAAGAATAGAACCCAGTTTTCCTGAGTCCCCGTCCAGTGTTCTGTCCAATAGGAACGGAATCAGGGAGAGCAGGGACTTGAAGCTAGTGTCTCCCATGCCTCAGGTGAGTGCCCTAACGCCCCCCCCCCACCCCAGTTGTATTGCAAATACACTTTATCACATCTCGGTTTCATTCTGTTGCAGAATAAAAACAAACATCGAAACCTCGACATTTTTTGCAAGCTGGAATTTTTGTTTTGCGGCCAACCCTAGTGCTCCCTCCAAAGGCACCATGCAGGATGGGACCCGCAGGCAGTACACGTTTATTCTGAAAAGGTGCATCACATTTTTAAATGAAATTGCTTCACCCAGGTTCCCACCCCTTTTGTGTTTGCTTTCCACGAAGTTGGGAGTGGTAGAGATTTGCAGGCACCAATGTTCTCAGATACTGAGCTCAAAGTCTTATGTGGGAGCATTAGCAAAAACTGAATATTACATATGTGCACAAGAGTATTCAGGCTGGAAGTGGTTGCACACTTATTCAATCAGGGACCAGAAACAATATGATGTGACTTATCTGATCAACCACAATACAGCTCAAATAACCAATATTCACAGAGAACTGCCCAGGGTCAGGCCAAACATTTTCAAAAATTACCCCCCAGAATTGGATACTGGATAAATGAGAGGAGATTGCAGCCTGTTTGTGGAATATCCAAGGGGGAAAAAAAAAACTGGCCACATTCATTATCAATTCTTTTTTCAGCTCTAATAGTGAGTGTAAGGTAGGGAAAAGACAGCAGAAAACCTCAGGATCTAAATGCTCTGGTTACATTTATTTTTCACTTTCTGGCCTCCGTTTAAAGCAAAAATGGACCCCAGGCTATAAAATCCAGATCTGAATCCAAATCTAGATTTTGCATTCTCATAAACTTGGAGGATGGTTGGATCCAGGTTTGTGGTTCACTCCATTACAGCGGGAGGGGCAAGCCACCCAATTTGGAATTAGATTCCCTTCCAAAAAGTCAGAGTGGGAGCTGGAACGGAGGCTTTGCTGCCAACCTGTCACTAATTGAAAGGGAAGCTGCATTGTGAACTTCACTTATATTGCAAAGAGAAAGCCACAGTTTAAAAAAAAACCAACCTTACATGTAATAAAAATAGTTAACAGGAAAGCTGCCGTTTCAACACGGCTCGAGAAACAGGAAGAACAACTTAACATGTTGTGATAATATTTGGCAATTATACAGTGCATTCCATCTTCATAGCACTGCACAATCGTCTGCTGGCTTAGCCGCACAATCCCCCTCCCCCTCCCAGTTCCCCAGGGGTAGGAAAGTAACTATTATCAGCTCCTATTTTACTGATACGGAAACGGAAACATTGAGATGAAGTGACTTGACCAAGGTCACAAAAGGAATCAGCCGGCTCAGTTCTCCCCTGTATCCATGCGCCACTTGCCACGGAAGAGCCAAAGTGACTTCACACAGCAAGTCAGGGGCGGAGCCAGAACTCAGGTCCCAGCCCAGCACTGTAGCCACTAGACCACACTGCCTCTCTGCTGAATGTTGCCAGATGAAGCACAAAAATGACTCACCTGCTCTAACGAAGGGCAGGTGAGGATGGGAAAGCTAATAATACATTAATACCCATTAAAGAGAGGTGAACCACCATAGCTGAATGGGTAATTAGCATTTGGCATGGTTGGTGTTTTAGGTACACCCAGAGTTAAATAATCGTCCTCCAAAGGAGTGCCCTGCAAGAGCGTCCAACAGAAGCCGGATTGCAGCTGATTGCTTCCCCTCCACCCTGGTTCTTTCCTCTGTATTTCATCTAGCGTTTCTGCCCCCGTGATTGGAACTTGGCCAGGTTGTGATCGGAAGCAGAGCCCCAGAAGTGACTGACTGAAAGAACAAAGCAGAAGTGCCTGGGTATCACTTACTACAGACACAGGATTTGCAAACCTGAGAGAGAGAAATGGCCCCGTCTGGAAGGAACCAGAGCTCTCTTTTTAGAGCATTTTAAAGAAAAGACGTCACAGAGCTTTAGGGAGAAAGGGGCAATTGGAAGGATAATGCAGCTGTCCTTTGCTGGGGTGATTCTCTTCCTTGCAGGTGAGAGGTTTCGATTGATCCAGTCACACCAGAGAGCCCACCTGAAAGGGGAGGGATAGCTCAGTGCTTTGAGCATTGGCCTGCTAAACCCAGGGTGGCAAGCTCAATCCTTGAGGGGGCCATCTGGGGCAAAATCAGCACTTGGTCCTGCTAGTGAAGGCAGGGGGCTGAACGCGATGACCTTTCAGGGTCCCTTCCAGCTCTAGGAGATGGGTATATCTCCACAGATTATTAAGGCTAATCTACCTACAAACCCACTGAGAGCCAGTCTCCTTTGCTTGCCTTTCAAAAGGAGAGAGGCTAAGGGGGTCTATTGTCAGCTCTCTACAGGGGATTTATGCTGGGTAACTTTAGCATTAACACTAACGGGAATCACCCACATACAACCCTGTGGAGCCAGATGAGACCCTCCCCCTCTATTTCTCTGCTGGTGGGTAGCACACTGCATGGTCTGATAGGGACCAGCTGGGGGGAGGGAATGGGGCTCCTTGGGGTGTTGAGTTCAAGTTGCCCTTCCGCCTCCTCAACCCCCCAGTGAAGAGGAAATGACAAGTTTTGCTTTGTATTTCAGGCTACTCCTGTGGGCTGGCTGCCCCGGAGTTGACTGGCCCTGGGGAGGTGAGCAGGCCCCTGGGCGAGTCGGTGTCTGTGCAGTGTCAGTACCGTGAAAGGTATCAAGGAAATAGCAAATACTGGTGCAGAGGAGCAGTCTGGAGCTCCTGTCACACAGCTGTTAAGACCACAGGGTCGGAGGCCGAGGCAAAGGGGGACAGAGTCTCCATCAGAGACAACCACAGGCTGCGCACATTCACGGTGACCATGGAGACCCTGACGCTGGGAGATGCTGGGATTTACTGGTGTGGGATAAGCAAATTTGGATTCGATCCGGGGGTTCCGGTTAAGGTGACTGTTCTCCCAGGTGAGTGTCTGCTCAGATCTCTGCACGGCTCCTACACTGCGACTGAGGGTGACTGGGGGATGGGTAAGAAAGAGAGACGGGCACTCCAGGGCAGGATGTTCGTATATCCCTACCTGTCCCCAGAGGTGATTTCCTGAGCTGATTCGCCCCTACTGGTATTGCAGTGGGCCACGAGCAGGACACGTGCAGGTCTGGAAGAGGCTGTCCCTGTGGGCAGGCTTGAGTCAGAGTTTATTGTCTGGGTGGGTTTTACACCTCCCGGGCAGCCACAGCAGCTCACGCCCCCGGACCAGCTCGGAAGAACCGGGGGCACAACTGCAGCCCCATGTTGACTAAGGGATCCAGCAGGGAGCTTCCCAGGGTTGCAGAGGCTCTAACCAGCACAGGAGCAGAGCAGTAGCAGAGGGCAGCGAACGTTGCCTGAAGCTCCTGCTCCCCATTGAAATGTGGCTCTGCTCTGAAAAACGGCTGGAAAAAACCCGGCCCCTCGATGGTCTCTCAGGGATTCCAGGTCAAACACGCTCCCTTTACGAGCACCAAGATGGCAGTTTTCCAGCTGTAGCCCCGCCCCCCTGCAAACCTGGGATCTGAGCGCCAAGCTGGGCTTTTTCCTTCCAGCTCATCATCACCAGGACTAAAAATTCTAGGGGGCAGATTAAACCCACTAAGATGGTCCAGGTATATTCAGTCACCTTTTTCAATGAACTCACACCAGCCCTGGTCATGCTCCTTATTTGGGTACTTTCCCTGGGCATTCATACTTCTGAGTTTTTCTGGGAAAGCATTTGCATAAACCAAATTTTACATTACATGCCCAAGTCTTTGTGCTGGAAGATCTCACCCAGCTACCCAAATGGGGAGTAGAGACAAACTCTTGTTGGGGCTCAACTGGCCAATCACAACTCACCACTGCTACAGTCACAAATATTAACTTTTCACAGGCGTGACATTCCCCACTGTGCAGAGGGACGTTACTCACTCAGGCCATTTAGCCTCCCTCTGTAGCAGCTATTTAGAGAAGAGAGGGGCCCAGGCCACAAAATATGGATCCAGATTTTGCACCCCACAGGGTTTGGGGTGTGTGTGTCCAGATCGAGGGTTTTGACTCATCTCTTTACAGGCATAGGGGCCAACTACAGAATTCAGATCCAGAATTCTCTCTCCGCCCACCCACACTCCAATGTTTGGGACAGGGAAGGGACTGGAGCTTGGGTTTAGTTTGAACCCACACCTAATTTGAAGGAAGACTGCGTAGAAATGATTTTCCAATCACTACAGCTACATTTCAAAGAGCAAATGGCTATTTTTAAAGTCCCTTACACATAATGAATATCAATTGTTAACAGCAAAGCTGCAATCTCAAGTGTCTGATGACCTGGTGTGAGACACAGGAAAGGCAGCTCAATATATAACACTTAGCACCTATATGGTGCTTCCTGTCTTCACAGCAGCGCTGTACAAATGTTAACGGGTTTATCTTCTTAGCACCACCGAGAGACAGGTAAGTACATTGTACCCCCATCCTACGGCTGAAGTGACTTGTCCCAGGTCACAGAGTCAAGTCAGTGTCCGGATTTCCTGACTTCCATTCCTGTGCTCAGATCACTAGGGCCACAGAGTTGCTGGAAGGGAAGTTCTGCTATCGGTGGAGAAAACGTGCATGTTGTGTGTGTTAAACCACTGTAACCGTGCGGCAATCAAAGCCACCGTCCTACAGGAGCTTCCATCACAAATCCAGTTGTAACCAGTTGCTTGCCACTGACACCCCTCCTTTCCTCTCTGCCTTCTTGCTTGTAAATGGGGGGGGGGGGAGACAGCGCAAAAGGAAATGAGGCATCAGATAAGAAAAAGGAAGCAGAAGTGTTTGGGTGTCACCGACAGGGCAGGTTGGCAGCCTTCAGAGGGAAGGTTGCGGTCCCTGGGGGAAGCAGAGTTTGCTTTTCGGTGCCAGTTAGAGAAAAGACGTGAAACAGATTAAGGGCGAAAGGGGCAGTTATGGGGATGTTGCAGGTGCCCTTCACCAGGGTGATTCTTCTCCTTCCAGGTAAGAGGTTTTTATTTCTCCATTCACACCAGAACCACTTTGCCCGGAAGGTCAGTCACCCCACACTGGAGTTTCTCTCCCCCTCCTGCTCTCTCTCAACTTCAGAGCGGAGAGAACCTAAGGGGGCATCTCCCGCTCTCCAGCTGGGGATTTACGCTGTGTAACTCAGCAGTAATGCTGCTAGGCGTCATGTGCATAACCCCGCAGGATCCAAATGAGACCTGAGAAATGCTTATTAGCAGGGCTTGGGGAGTACTTGCTTGGCATCCTGCCATCCAGTGCATTGCATGGAACGGCATGTATTCAGCATGACACAGGGAATGAGGCCCTTGGGATTGGGGGCTGCTGTCCCATATCCCTCACTCCTGGGGGCGTGGAGCAGGGTGTTGAGATTTGCTTTGTTTTTCAGGCTATTTCTCTGCCCTGGCTGCCCCGGCACTGACTGCCCCTAGGGAGGTGAGCGGGCCCCCGGGGGGCACGGTGTCCGTACCGTGTCACTACGGTAAAACAGCTCAGGGATCTCCGAAATACTGGTGCAGGGGAGCACAGTGGAACAGCTGCTCCAAAGTTGTTGAGACTGAAAGGTCAGAGGTCAAGGTGAAACGGGGCAGAGTCTCCATCACAGACAGTCACAGCACGAGCACATTCACTGTGACCACGGAGAACCTGACTCTGGAAGATGCTGGGATCTACTGGTGTGGAATAAATATAAAAGGTGGAGGTGATCCTTATTTCCTTGTTAACGTGACTGTTCTCCCAGGTGAGTCTCTGCTCTGATCTACTGATGGCAACCTGGAGCCAGGGCTGGATTAACTCTCCTGTGGGCCCAGGGCTATGAGATTTTGTGGGGCCCCCTGTATACAAGTCTTTTTCCTAATTTAAAACAAAATTATCACAATTATGGCATTGAGGCTATTAATGCTATACTCAACTTGCCTTTTAGTTAACATAAAGCTGTTCTGTGGTTACATTTCAGTCTTAAAACATGTAGAATATAGTTAAGTTAATTCAAAAATAGCTTATTTCTTACCTTAGAACAGCTGTTATATTAGTTTCTTTCTGGGAGGGAGTTGGGGTGCAGGAGGGGGCTCCCGGCTGGGGCAGAGTGTTGGGGTACAGGAGAGGGTGAGGGGTACAGGCTCTGGGAGGGAGTTTGGTGCAAGAGGGAATTCTGACCTGGGGCAGGGGGTTGGGGTGCAGGGTCTGGGAAGGGGGTTGGGTGCAGGAGGGGGCTCCCGGCTGGGGCAGAGTGTTGCGGTGCAGGAGAGGGTGAGGGGTGCAGGCTCTCTGGGAGGGAGTTTGGTGCAAGAGGGAATTCTGACCTGGGGCAGGGGGTTGAGGTGCAGAGGCACCAACTTTCCCCAGCGCCGCTGGGTGCTCGTGCCCCCCTACCCTGACTCCACCCTTTCCCTGCCCCACCCCCATTCCAACCCCTTCCCCAAATCCCTGCCCTGGCCCTGCCTCTTCCCCAAGCACTCCGCGTTCTCCCTCCTCCCTCCCAGCCATGCAAAACATCTGTTTTGCGGCACAAGCGCCGGGAGCTAGGGGGAAAAAGCGGGCACGCGGTGTGCTCAGGGGAGAAGGCGGAGCGGAGGCAGAGGTGAGCTGGGCAGGGGGACGGGAAGCTGCCAGTGGGTACAGAGCACCCACCAATTTTTCCCCGTGGGTGCTCCAGCCCTGGAGCACCTATGTTGAGGTGCAGGAGAGGATGCGAGGTGTAGGTGCTTATCACAGGCAACTCCCGGCCAGTGGCGCAGCAGGGCTCAGGCAGGCTGCCTGCCTGCAGGCCGTGGCTCCACACCACTCCTGGACGCAGCCCGCTGCTGACACGGGGAGGGGAGCAGCGTCTCCATGTGCGCTGCCCACAGGCGCCCCGTTCCCGGCCAATGGGAGCTGCGGGGACTGTGCTGGCGGCAGGGGCAACGCGCGGAGCCGCCCCCCTGCCCGGGGCTGCAGAGACATGGCAGCAGCTGGCCGCTTCCGGGAGCGGCGTGGGGCCACGGCCTGTAGGCAGCCTGCCTGAGCCCTGCTGTACCGTGCCCCCCCCTTAGTCCAGGGCTACAGCCCGTAAACCCCTGCGTTTATCTGGCCCTGCCTGGAGCCCAAGTGTCTGATTGGGGAGTGCTGGTGAGAGACCCAGACAGCTATTTCTAGCCCCAGCTTATCCCCAGGATAGCATCCTGGTCACTCAACCCTAGTGTACAGCAATAGGCCCGTGCTCGGGTCTGTGGGGCTGGAGAAGTGAGCTGATGTGGGCGCCCAGGGGTTAGCGTATGTAGGTGTGTGCAGGCTACACCTCCTGCTCCCAGGCAGCCGCATGCCCCCACTCCGGCAGCAACTCTTAGTGCTTGGAGGGCCAGCAGGGTGCTGCTGGAGGCCTCCAAGCACCAAAGCAGGGGAGCGGCGGCAGTGGGCTGCAAGACCCTCCCCGTCACACTAAAGGCAAGCCTGTCGCTGCTGACCTGAGGCTGGGGGCAGAGGGACCGGGGGGTGGGGGGGCAGGGACTCCTGGCAATGCAGCCAACTATAGGGGAGACTCCCCTACTGAATGCAGGACTGGGATGGGGAGAAGCAGCAGGCTGGAGGGAGGGGGGATGGAGAGGGGGAGAAGGAAGGAGCACGGAGTGGGGTGTGCTCTACCTTGGGTACCTTGCTCTGCATGCCTTGCTCCATTGCAGCAGGTCTCTTGGATCGGGCTGGACCCCCAGGCAATAGGGGCTAGTCCCTGAGGGCTCCCCGCTCTGGGCTGGCTCAGGAAACCAAGGTGCACTGGGAACAGAGGAGCCAGCGGAACCTGCTCCTTGTGTCGACATTTCCTTGGGAAGATCAACTAAAGGGAACAACTCTGTGTCGAAATTTAAAATGCACACCGTGGCCTGCGTGAGAGCTGGTATAGGACAGGATCAGTGTGCGGGGGGTGTCTGGGGATCTGGTCCTGGAGCAAGGGGGGAAAAGCCGGTACGAGCTCCGGGGAAATCCCTAGAGGGGCTCGGGTTTGAATCTCTCCCTTGCTGGGGCGGGGGGGGGGGTAAATATTTGACCAATAACTATTATAGGAAATCGAATGGCCCCCGCAGGGCAAGCGCGTTGAATCTGGAGACTGCCGGCAGTGCTTAGAGTACAGAATAGAGGGAGATTAGTGCTGCTCGGAGGCCCTGACCCAAAGCCCATTGAAGTCTATGGATACACTCCCACTAACGTCAGTGCGCATAAGGCCCTCAGTGCAACCTTAACTATGGAGCTCTGTGATACGTACCCCAGGCGAAATCCCCCCTCCCTCTCCAGTCCCCACCCTGAGATCAGCCCACTCCCAGGCAGCGCACCCCAGCTCCTTGCCTTCACTCCATTACAGAGCCCTGCTTTCCACCGATGGACAGCAGCTCCCATCGCCTGGTTGTGTGGTCACTTGTGTGCGGTGGGTTTGCTAGGGACAGTCTAGATCCCAGCGGTCACCTTGCTGCGTGCCAGCTAACACTCATGCTCTGCGCTAATCCTCCCCCTCGGTGGCAGGCTCAGGTGAGAGGCCAAGAACTGGACTGGGCCTAGAGCCTGATGGCGCCATTCACGCCTAGGGGTGCTAGGTGAAGAGAGGGCTCCAGGATGGGCAGGCTGGCATCTGTCACTTGAAATGGCAAGACTAAGAACACAGCTGCCTATGGAGACGTGACATTTTGAAGACCTCAGAGCATTGTGTTTTCTGGCTTCTATTTTCAGCTCTTTCCACTGCAGTGATGGTAACCACTGGATCTCTCTCCCCAGCAATAGGCACAACAAACACAGCTGAGCACCCCAAAAGGTAAGGGCGGTTAAGTACATGTAAAAGCAGGGTCTCAGCTGGGGTGTTCAGGGCTGAATTTCCAGGCCCAGCTTTGCATGCGGGTTGCGGTCTGCAGCGGCAGAGACGGGCACATCCTGGTTTATGTATGTAGACTAAGGGGCTGGGCATCTCACTGCCTGATTTGTGTCTGCAGATGGGGGATGTTGCACATCCAAAACCAGAGAAGTTCCCACCCAGCTGCTGGTGCTCGTGATCATGCACTGCCAGGCTGATGTACCGTTTCCCTGCACCGTACCATCATTTACACAGGCACAGAGAGAGTGCAAGTCCACTGCAAAAGTCAGTGGGAGAACTGCACAAGTTCTGCAGGCTCAGGCCTGCTGTCAAAGCTACAAAGCACAGAGAGGTAGAGACACTGCCCCAGGGTCACACAGCGTGTACCATTGGGACAGAGCTAGGACCAGTTCTCGGGTGTTCCTGGACTCCGGTTCTGTGGTCAGGCCACTAGCCCAGGCTTCCTCAAGACCTTTACTCTGCCTAACTGCACTCTCTCCATTGGTTTCCCTAATAACGCTTTACAATTCAGTATACAAGAAGCTGCCATCTTATTTCTCACCCTTCCTGAGAGAGAGCGAGATCTTCCCCCAAAGAGCACCCTCGTCCTCCTTCAATCTTCACCGCTCCAAACAGACATGGCTGCAGCAACCAAATCCTCTCTTTTCTCTTGGCCTGCTGTTCCCTCTTATTCATATTGCCAGCCCTGTCTGCTCTGCCTTCCCACCCCGCCAACTGTAGCTACCGCTGGTAAATTAAATCTTCCCCTTGATCTGGTGACTTAGCCAACTCGCTTACCCTAATTAGATCACATCTCCCTCGGCACACGTGCTAATAAATAAAATTGTCTTGGTTTCTGAGCTTCTAGCGTTTTGTACAGGACCCATTTAGCGTTTCCCTGCTCCGGCCCTGTCTCTCTTTTGACTCCTAACACTAGCTGATCAAAGATCTCCCTTTAGCTGTCCTGTGTCTCAGTAGAAACTGAGGGCTGGTCTACAGACAAAGCCAGGATTTAAACCGAAATTTAGATCAGCCTAGCAACATTGCTCTGGGGTGTGAAAAATTCACACTGTTGAGAGATGTCGTTAAGTCGACCAAAGCCCCAGTATACACAGCCCTAGGTCAATGGAAGAATTCGTCTACCTAGCTCCTGCCGCTCGCGGGGGTGGATTTACTACAAGGATGGACAAACCCCTTCTCTCACTGTAGCAAGCGTCTACATGACAGTGCAGCAGCAACGCTGTCACTGTGCTGCCGTAGTGTAGACAAGCCCCCAAAGGGGTCATTTTTATACCAATTCAGTTAAACTGGTGTAACTTTGTGTGTGGACACTTACATGGATTTAAAGCTGGATTATAGCAGTTCAGCAGGGTCAGTAAATGATCAGCTCCACGCTAAACCCCATATAACCAGTTTGAAAAACTGATACAGGAGCCTTCACGCAGGGCTGTGCAATAGTTTAACAGCATCCGTTTTTTAATTAATTTAAGTTAAACTAGTGCAACTTCTGCATGCAGATAACCCCCGCCTGGAGAATTCTGTGCATTGTTCCCGGGGGTTGCAGCACTACTTTAGCCATGCTTTGGGGAGGTCTCTTTCTACAGAAGGTGGTGGAAAGGCTTCTGCATTTATGAGAAGAGACCGTCACTTGTTTCAGCTCAGATAAAATGCCCAGTAGACTGAATTTGGACAGTATCAAGTCTGGCTCTGGGCGGTTCTCTGGAGCTGGGTTGGTTGAATGGGCATGGGCATTCTCTGGGTCAGGGAGTGGTTGTTGGTCCCTGGGGATGGGGGTGAACAATGCCTATAGCAGGGAGGGTCATGGCACAGGGGAGGGGCCGAGAAGCAGCATGGCCTGTAAGTGGCTGCTGGCGGGCCACTATACAGAGGTGCATTTGCACGAATACCTAGGGCAGGGCTGGCTTTGTTCCCCGACTGAATTTCCATCATCCCCGTCCCAGACGGGCAGGCAGTGTCAGAGATGTGTTTTTCCTTTGTCTTCCAGTTCTCCTTTCACCAGTGCTATGTTCCTGCTGCCAATGCTCCTGCTGGTTTTACTTATATTACTGAGCGGAGCCATGCTTCTGGCCAGAAGAATGATGCTGAAGAGGAAAAAGGGTGAGAGGCCGAAGGTGGGGGCTGCCCCGGATTCATCTGGCTCTGCCCTCCTTTCATTTCTTTTCCTCTCTCATTTCTCTCCCCCACCCCACCATCACTTACTCCCTTGGCCAATAAAGCTTTGTGAAGCCCTGCTCCTAACCGCTTAGTCTGCCAAAAACCCCATGCAAATCAGGAGTTTTGCCTCAGTAACCAGTTCTCCCATTTCTATGTTCAGTGCAAGGGAAGTGGTTTAACAGAAATGCACTTATTTACACAGCAGCCAGACTGAGCTAAGCACGATAGAGACACCTAGTGAAACACGGTTCCTAGAGGGAAGGGCTTTCAATCAAGGCAGGCAACATCCAGGCCCAGCAGCGGGGCTGGGAGTCAGAGTCCCGTTACGCCGTTTCTCTTATTTGAATTTGGTCTAAATCTCTCTCCCCGTGGCTGAACTTAGCAGGAAGGAAGGGGGGTATGGCTAAGGGACTGGAGACATCTGGGTTCTGGCCTTTCTGCAACATGGGAATAATAATTCTTCCCAAGGCTTAGTCCATTAACATATGGGAGGCACTTAGTTACTACAGTGATAAGCACCATAGAAAATCCTATGCGAGAACCCCCTTCCTCTTCTCTGATTGCACAAACCCCCCTCTCACCCCAGACTCTGCCACCCGCTCCAGGGTCAGTCCTACAAGGTGGTGAGCAGCCAGCCCCATTTTCCAGTATGTGCATAGTTCCAGCCCAGTCCAGGAGCCTACTCACACGTTTGCAGTACAGAAGCATGGGCTAAATGCCTTGTCCGATTGTGCAAGAGTGCTCAGCCCCCTGCAGGATCAAGCCCTATTTTCTTATTTCACACACACACACACACACACACACACACACACACACTCTCTCTCTTCTCCTGCTCAGGGGTGATGCAACCCTGAGCCAGTGATTAGTCAGAGCTGAGGTTTATTGCAGTTTCAAAAATAGCAACAGCCAAGTTACCCAAGGCACCTCCTCAGCCGCAAGTGGAGCAATTAGCTAAAGCCTGAGGAAGCTGGGTTGCTGTGTAAATGTGTGTGGGTGGTGTGTGTACTAACACTATTGGACAGACAACGTAATGCACCCCGGAAAGAGACGAGGCTAACAGCTTCCCCATTGTCATGGCTAGGGGGCTAACCCGCCACTCCCAAGGGGATATATGCAGCTGACTACACCCCACACACCTGACGTTGCCCTGCTGGTACAGAGATTTCCAGTGAGCAAATGGCAGCAGGCCACCTGCTTCTCCCAGGGAAGTTCCACTTGTCCAGGGTTGCACCCATATGCCGGAGGAGATCGGTCCCAGTAGCTTTGCCTACAGTTCATCTGTGTTTATGGGCCACGGCTAGTCAATGCCCAATGCCACAGAGGGCCTCAGAATTCCTTCCTATTCACGGTCTCTATCTGCTCTTTGCCCACTGGACACTGCAAAGGCAACTCCAGAGAATCACAGCGGGAGCAACAATTCCCGTCCACTTGTGGGTGGGGGATCCGGGTGTAAAACTAGTGCTTATTACACTGGTGAAGGCTGTGGAAGTGAAATAGACTCAGGAGCTCCGGGGATGCAGGTGGTGGTTCTGGCCTGTAGGGTGCACCTCAACCACAGGAATGGCGGAACCAGAGAAGATCCATTTCTCCTCTCTTGAAAGGCAGGAGAGTCTAGCTGCATCTGTGAGTTCCTCATCAATTCTAGGTACATGCCCTGTGCCTCATCCCAGCTATCCCAAGTCACTTCCAAAAGTCTGCGCCAGGGCCTGCCTGCACCTGCCTAGTCTAAGCGTTAACAGCTCAGAACTAAGCCCTGGAGAAAGAGACCGACATTGTGATGTTGGTGGCAAAGGGCTGAACGCTTCAGCATTTTACCCCTCCTTGTGTAGGATCTGGAGGAGCCCACCTCCTTCCCCCACTCCCAGCCTCGTCACTCCTCCTCTGTAGATCGTCTCTTTTAACACTGTTACATCAGTGTAATAAGTGTCTGTTACCTTTCAGCTGCTGGAGCCGCTGGGCCTAGCGCAGCAGTGAATGAGGTAAGAGAGGGGAATGGGTGCTGCACTCTAATACAGTGGGTTAATTCTCAAGCCCCAAGGGGGGGCTTTAACAGCTTAGTTCAAGAGAGGGCGCGGAGCTCAGTTATTCAACCCCTCCGAGCTAAAAAAGAGGAGAATCCCGAGTGAGGGACAGGCTGAATCCCTGGGAAGGATGCTGGTCATTGTAGGGGGTCCCCAGCCAGGATTTGTCCATGTCTGAAGAGAGGTGGTCTGGTGCATAAAGCATTGGATGGACTCAGGATTCCTGGATCTGCCAATAGCTCATTGCGGGACATTGGGTAAGTCACCATCTCTCTGTGCCTCTGTTTCTAGTCTGTAAAATGGGAAGAACACTAGTTCCCTTTGCAAAGGGCTTGAAGATCCCTGGCTGAAAAGTACTGTCAGCACTAGGAGCACAGCTGGAGAAAGCAGTGAGACTGTTGCTAGGTGTTGGGGGAATGGGGAGTTAGAGGGGAGGGAAAACCAGGGGACAGATAACAGAGGTAGGCTGTGTGCTTGGATCACCCCAGAAGTAGTAGTGGCCTGGAGAGTGCCTGGTGCTGCTGCAGCTCAGAAACCCCAACCCAGATTGTGTTTATTTTTTTTCAGGCTGTTGCTAGCACCGAAAGTGATGTTTCCTATGCAGCTGTGAAACCTAAATCTAGAAAATCCATCACCACAGCCCCAACGCCCCACTCCGCTCAGGCCGAGCCCAGTCCAGAAGGGGTGGAATATTCCGCTGTAGTAAGGATTCTGGCGTTCAGTTCTAAAATGCTAAGATTCTTCTGATCCTTTTATTCTCTTTAAAACTTGCTTTTGGGTTTTACAGGGCAAGCCGAGTCTTGCACAAGAGCACTTACATGCAATATTCACATCTCTTCTAGCACATTACAAAAGAGGTCGCTTTGCAAATGAACCCAGTTGCTTTCATTAGCAGCGAGAGGTGTTCTGGAAAGGCTCTAGAAAAGTTCTAGCAAGTTTCTCGAAGCTTTAGAAAAAGCTCCAGTCTCCATCAGGTCTGGAAAAGTTTGGACCACCTCACATTCAGAACGGCAGCTGAAGTCAGAGCATAGAGGGCCAATTTTGCTTTGTTCTGCTTTGCACATGTAACGCCGCCAGACCCCAGTTGCCAGTGGGTGGGATCGAACCTGGGGCCTCTTAGTGCAGGAGCGTCTACCACATGAGCTAAAAGTTGCTCTCTAAGGCTGTAGAACAGACTCATTTTATCTCCTCTCTCTAAGTGGTCTCGGTGCCCCTAGATGGGACAGAGCACCACACCCAGAAGGTGTGTGGGTTACACACACAAAATTTGCCTACCTGTGGATAACTGCATGTACCGGCTGGGAAACTGCAGGCCCACTTTCAGCACATGCAGGCAGGATGCAAACAGTGCATGCACGAAGAGTCAGCTGCAAATTTAAATGCTCCGGTCTCATGTGACATGCCCAGCAGTAATGTCATGTGCTCATCCACTGGACTGGAGTTCTACTCACGGCCGTGCAGTGCCAGTTTTTAGAAAGAAACTATTCAAGGTGCAGAAAGATCTGCACACCCAAGCCAGGGATGTGCGTGAGTATTAGGAAAATGTGCTGGGCATCATCACTCATCTGAGCAATTGAGTTACTTAGACAAAGCAGTCGGGGTATGAGGGCTTCCGTTCCTCAGCATCTGTTCTAGTTACGGTCTCTCTCCCTTCATTTCTTTTCTCTGATCAAGGCTGTTTTAAAATTTCAGGCTCCAGGAATGACAGATATTTCCTACGCCACAGTGAAATATCCAATCCTGGATGAGCAGGCAATCTACATCAATGTGGACAGGTCATCCCGTCAACCCCCCTTGAGCAGCCCTCTGGAACAGACAGAGTACTGCGCAGTGAAAAAGAAATAGGCTCCCTCTGGAACATTTCCTTTCCCTCCCTTCCCTGTTGTTGTGTGGAAGTGCAAAGATTGCAATCTCTTGGAGCAGTGTTGCAAGGAATGAAATCGTCTGAGATGAGCTGGTGCTGGTGGAGTCCCAGCCAGATTAAGCAAATGCCAGGTGGAACTATATTGAACTGGGAGACTCTCTCACCAGAATGGTCTGATGCAGCTAAACACGGTGTGGTGTAATGGGGGAGGGGGGAAAATGCTGTGGAAAGGCAGAAAAATCAATTACTCAGTCTTATTTATTTACATGTACGTCAGTCCTCACTTGTACTCTCTCATGCAAGTTAAAGCCGGAGGGGCGGGGGGAGGGAAATGTGATTCTGCAGAGATGGGTCCAAGTCATGTAGTTCTGCTCCAGTTTCCTAGATTTGAAGGGGGAGAGGTTGGGTTTGGGATCCATCCCGACCCAGGGAGCATGGTGGTGGTAACATCTTCATCCCCCAGCTCTCCTGAGACAGTGAAGCGGCTGCATGCATCATAGCTGCTCAGGAGAGCGAAGAGAGCACCATGGGAGCAGGACCACAGAAAGACAAGGGGTGGAGTGCGGCTGGCATTTGGGGACAATGCTTAGACAGGAGCATTCCCCAAAAAGTCAGCTGGGACTTTGATTGGAATGGGCCCCCAATGAAAGAAAATGCCAGGGAGGAAAGGAGAAAGACCTCAGACACCAAGCAGCATGGAATAGCACCAGCTTGGTGGAGACGATGCAACATTGTTAGGATATTAGGTTGGATATTAGGAAAAACTTTTTCCACTAGGAGGGTGGTGAAGCACTGGAATGGGTTACCTAGGGAAGTGATGGAATCTCCTTCCTTAGAGGTTTTTAAGGTCAGGCTTGACAAAGCCCTGGCTGGGATGATTTAGTTGGGGATTGGTCCTGCTTTGAGCAGGGAGTTGGACTAGATGACCTCCTGAGGTCCCGTCCAACCCTGATATTCTATGATTGTCGGGGGATAGGCCTTGGAGAGAGAAGACAGAAGCCCTGGGAGGGGAGGGTTGGCAAGACCAGACCAGACAGACAGGAAGTGGGAGGGAGTTTTGCATCATTTCACTGCACACGTTATGTTGCTAAATAGGCAGTGACCTTTCAATGAGGGAGCTCCTGATAACACAGCACCATGGGACAGGGAAAGACCGACATTTGCCTGTGCAGAATACATTCCTTTTCAATAGGATTGGCCGGCAGCACTAATGCATGTTCTAGTTCACGGCCATGATATCACTAAGAGCTGGTAAATAATTCATAGCTAGGAAGCTGGAGGACTTATTGATCAGTCTCCAGCCTTTGCCTGTAGTTCCCACAGCCAAGCTCCCAGGTCAAGGAGGCTTCTGACTTGCACTTACAGAACCGAAGTCAGTAGCATCTCTAGTGTGTCTCTTGAGTAGGATGACCCAGGTCCAGGCTGTATTGTGTGATGCCTTCAGGCAGCCAGTCTTGTTCTATCTGCTTTAACCACACACAAGTTATCGGGCTTAATATAGGGGTAACTGGGTGACATTTGATGGCCTGCGATACACACAAGATCGACCTGATGATCTAATGGTCCCTTCGGACTTTAAACTCTGTGGCTTTCAGCCTTTGGAGATGTCACAGGACCTGCCCCTATGCCCATTGAAGTGAAGGAGAGTTTTTCCCATTGACACCAAAGGGCTTTGGATCAGGCTCATGCAAAGTAGCTTGGCAGACTAGAAACAAATCACATTATTTTAACTCTTTGAAGGCTGTGATGAAGACACTGTAGCCCTGGGCACATTGCTATTGAACACAGAAGGTGGGACTGCAGCCTCAGGATAGTGGCAAAGCCTCGTGCTTTAAGACCTCTCATGTCCTACAAGGCCCATAACCTCAGCCTCAGTTGTGTCAGCCACTGAGAGGAAGCTGAAGAAGCCAGTGATGTCAGACTTTTAGTGTCACCTATAGTCAGGGGCCTGGCGTTCCAGGGGGTGGCCCAGACTCCGCTAGCTGGGGATGGTGGGTGGGTTACAGCAGCCAAGTAGAGTGTGGAATTCACTCACTGAAGATACAGAAACTTCCAAGTTTGGGAGTAAGTTTAATGCTCATGAAAGGAGGGTCAGGGGGTGGAAGCAGCTGCATGGTCCAAGGACAGGAGACCAAACTGGGAGTCAGGAACCGTAAGTTCTGTTCCCAGCTCTGCAACTGACCCCCTGTCTGATCTTGGACAAACCCCTTCAGCTCTTTGTGCCTCAGTTTCCCCCACTGTGAAGCATGGGGGATGGCTATGCATTGAGAGATCTATGGAGGAAGAGTGGTATATACCAAAGTGTTCAGTAGGGTTATTTACAGGGGTGGGTTGAGCCAGGCACAGAGAGCGTGTGCTGTGCTACAGCTCTGCCAACAAAGCACCCCCAATACTGACACACAGCCACATCCTGAGCTCTCCCCCAGTTCTGCCAATGGTCTCACCCTTCTTCAGTGCCTGCCTTGCTGTAGAGAAGCCCAGGATTAGTAAAGGCTGCCAGCTGATGAATTACACCAAGCCTAGTGTGGTTCTGCTGCGAGGTGCACAGAGAGGGACTGGCACAAGCTCAGACCCTTCATTCAGGAACTCAGGGGGTCTCTAAGGCAGACCCTGTAATGAACCAATGCACAACACCTCAGCTCTGAGTGCTCACTCCTGCCTCGTTGGTTTTGTCATCTAGACAGACATTCGGAGATGCAGGAGGGCTGACAGGAGTCAGATCGGAGTTGGAATAGTTCAGAGCCAAGGTACTTTGTCTCCACCCCTAAGCTAAAGTTCATTACATGCACACAGCCTCCTGTTACTTACAGGGTGGTGGGGGAATGGTGTTTAAAGAAACAAGAGCAATACCCTGCCGAGGGAAACTTGGACCACTTACTCATGCCAGTCTCAAACCAGGAGATGCATGTGACAGATATATTGCAGGAAGTTGCCCTCTTTGGGGGACCATATTGTACTAAGTGTATGAATGGTTTATGTATCTGCATGGGCCAGGGACTGCATGCACTCTGGGGTGATGGGGAGGGTTACCACAGCTCCTCCACAAAGTGAAGGCAGCAGGGGCACAGTAAGGCAGATCAGGCAGGGTATAAAACACTTCCTGAGAAGTATCCTTGGCTGGGGAGTGGTATTCTTGTTCAGATTGGCTGGTCTCTGAAGAATCCAAAGAAAGGACTTTGGGGATAGTTAACTCACTTTTAAACTGACTCAGGGCCTTCCTTCCTTCCGCTTCATGATCTAAAAAGACTGATACAAACTTGTAACCACAGGGAAAAAAAATCCAGTTGCAGGGTTTGGAAGGACTGGCATTTTCTAGAGCCCAGTGTTGGGATTGGAGGGGGCGTGACTGCTGGTCAGTTTAACATCACACACCTTTTGTTGTTTTAGATCCTTTCTCTGTAATGCTTTTATCTTAAGAATAAAGGTGCTTGCTTAGCAGGAGCGATGTGGGGACTTGTAATTGTCAATACACTGGTCATGGCTCTTGGAGAAAGCCAACCACAGGCATTTGCCTTTGAGGCAGCCCCAGCAGGCCAGTCTATTACGATGTAGATCAGGGAGCTGTGCAGCCTTAGAAACCCTGGTCAGAAGGGAGCGAGATGCAGGTCTCCACCCAGGAGAGGGGATGGCTGGGAGCTGGAAATCTTTCATGGGTGCCTTCTAGGGACCACAGAGGGGGGGGGAAATACAGTTACCCTGAAACTGTGACAATGTGTATTTGCAATTATGCAAGAAGCACGGCAGTCTTTGTAGCAGAAGCATCTGATGCAACCGGGTTGACTACGTGAAAGTCTGCTACTGCTCTGGGACTGGCTCTTCTCTACCTGGGGTAACTGAATGAATATGTCAGAGCTGCATGAGATGGGGCTGGGACCTTCCTTATTAATGTGACAGTAGCACTCAGAGGGCCCCAAACAAGATTGGGTCCCCACGGTGCAGGGCTGTATAAACACATAGGACAACCTGGTCACTGCACCACACATCTCCTAGTCTAAAGAGAGGAAAGGGATACAACATAAGGGGGAGGGGTGGGAGAGAAGAGGAGTGAAATTTACCCCTGTGCGGAGAGCTCACGTAGTCTTAGGCACCAGTTGTGTCTAGCTGAAGCCCTGAAAATACAGCTGAAGTGGAATGTAGGTGGTGCTAGACCTTACAGACAGGCTGTCTGCACAGGGCTGCATTTCACACACAGGGATCAGGGAGCTAGAGGTATGTACTTTGTTAGTTCCAGCTATTTTCTCCCTCCCGGCCTGATCCTGCTGACAGGCACCTGAGAAACCCCAATGAACTCACTGATGGTTGGACACCACACCCGTGTAGAGTTACCCCCAATGCCCTGCTCCTGCCGGAAAGTAAGTTGAGAGCTGCTGAGGGCAACTCTCATGTCTGTTTCTTTTTACTTTACCCTGTTTTCTAGTCACAAAACTAAGCCTCCAGCCCCCTTCCCCCCCCCCCAGCAAGCAGCAGCTGCCACCACCTCCCTGGGCTACCGACTCACTGCACCCTGAGGGGTGGAGTTTCCCTTCGAGGGGCAGAGACGTGTGGCTCGCTAGATGGAGAGCATCATGGGAAGCAAGTGCAGACCATATTCTAACTGCACCTACAGGTTTCCCAGACAGGCAGGCCCCAGGAGGGAAGCATCACTTCAATATTGTCATCCCTGTATTAATTGGGAGGAGGGGGGGGGGAGATGGTGTTGGAGTATCACAGCTGCAGCATGGGCGGGGGGGGAGTAATTTGCACCTCGCTGACTCCATAGACATGCTTCCTTTTGTGTCCTTCCCATTGGCTCAGCAGGCCAGTCTCTTTTATTTGGGGAAATAGATTGGGCAATGAAAATGCAGTTATTAGGCAGAGTCCTTTGTGCATCCACAGCATCCTACAGCCAACAGGCCTAAGCACGTCACAGACGTTAACGAAGGCTGTCACCTCCCTCCGAGGTTAGTACCTTTCCCATTATACGGAGGAGCAGGTTGAGGCAAAGCAAGGTTCAAGGACTTGTAAATTGAGTGGCAGAGTCAGACATAAATGAGTCCCAATAACCTGCTGCCACCTCCAGGTATAACAGTCTCTACCCTGTAGGAGAATGAACAGGGTTGTCAAAGCTGCAGAAGGATGGCTAGATGAATCAGCACAAAACATAAAAGACACACTGAAAGCCTCCCAGATGCTATTTCAACATACCACACAAGCTTTTATGTCAAGGGGTCTCTCCAGAGACGGGGCCAACTCAGTACCAAACATCAGGGCGAAGTTCAGATTCAGATATGCAAAAGGGGACTTGATCCTGAGATCGGATTCTTACAGGGAAAGAGTCAAGTTCTCACACCAACGTTCAAATGTACAACAGACCCCACTGGTGCATTGGTCAAAGCATCCAGGGAATACACAAAAGTTGCTCCTGAACAAGAATGACGAGAGTTTCAAGTAATGAATTCTACTCGGCAACAGGTCTTGGAGAAAAAGGAAATCGGAGAAACCCTCAGCATCTCCTAGACAGAGCTCTCTACTTTAGCTTTACAAGTAATTTCTCCTCTTAAAGACCTAAAGATAAAATTGCTCCCCATTAGAGAGAGTACTGTAGTTGGAAAAGACTAGTCACAGACATCTCAGCTGCAATCAGTTACATTCGAATATCCTGCTGCTGCGGTCTGCCCTCTGGCAGGATTCTCAATGCAGTCAATGGGAGTTTTGCCTGGGTCAGATCAGGCTTTTGAGTCGAAACCCAAAGTCCACGGGAGTCTTCCCATGGAGGTCAATAGGCTTTGGATGGGGCCCTAAATGATGTAAATATACCGTCTCTCTCCCCCAGCATTGAGAAGGCTGCTGCATGCGCGCAATGCTGAAGGCATACAGCGGTTATAAATTAATTGGACTAACCTTCCCAGTCCAACATGCCATCTTCACAATGCATTAATTCAGTGTATTCACAGTTCCTTCATCCTGTGGAGGGTTCTATATTTGCAAGTACCCAAGACAGAATAGTCCTACAGCCCTTTGTTTTCCCTCTTCCTAGCCCTTGACAAACATTAATTAACCCTCGCAGCACACGGGTGAGGCAGGCAAGTAAGTTGGGGTCTCCCTAAGGCAGAGAGGTTAAATGATTTGCCCAAGGCAGCAGGGGAGTCAATGTCAGAGCTGAGCTTAGAATTCAGGATTCCTATCTTACATTACAGCAGCTTCACTAGTTCCCCCTGGCAATCTCATCTCTTGCTCCTTACTACTTGCATTTTTAGTCATTCATTTCTACTTTACTGGAGTCCGGAGCCAAGTAAGATCCTGCAAACTCAGCCCGCAAAGTGACTTAAACAAGAACCTGCAAATCCACAAAAGTTATTTCTCTCAAGGCAATCTCCCTGCGCATTAGGATGTTTCTGTTCCTGGTTTCTATGGTGCTGAGCACTGAGGGAATCTCTCTCCCCGTCTACAAGTACGGGAGTGTGTGTGTGTGGGTGGGGGGGCGGCGGCTTTGGCAACTTAAATGCAGACTCAAGCTAGCTCTGTTGCACCAGTGTAAACATTTCTCTCTGCACAGTAGGGCCACATCCTGCAGCCCTAGCTCAGGCAAACCTCCCACTGAATCCATCTATGAGATTTCTCTCTCCTGGTGAAATTCGCCCCTCTGCACAGCACCGGTGTGTGCACCACTTCAGCTCCATTTCGAGATCCAGTTAAGTCAGTCTATCTATGGGCTCGATCCTGCATTCCTTGCAGTTACTCCCATGGATTCAGTGGTGCACCTTCAGGCCAGATGTGCTTAAAGGATGAGGGCAAGCCCTCTGCTGGCCACAGTGTTCAGCACTTTGCAGAACCAAGTCCTAAACCCACTTCAGCCCTCAAAAGGGTTAAGTGGGGCATCTTCCTGAAGAGTCTCCCCCTCCCCGTGTGAATATCCCTGATGCAACAGATCATTTTCCTGCCGCCACAATCATTCATGAGCAGCAGCCCCCAGCTCAACCTACATTCACAAAACTTTTTACTGTTTCTAAATAAATTTAATGTTTTTTCCAACATGACTTGTCCATCAAATACCATCGTCGGGACTGGGAAGGATTGGACAGGGATGGAGGTGGAGTCATATGTTGGAACATAGTATAACACCTTGGCTTGTGCCACTCCAAATGGGGGCAGATGCTTAGCTGCTGGGGATGGCTATAGCTCCACTGAGTCCAAAGGCACTATGCCAAATTTACATCAGCTGAGGATCTGGCTTCATAGTCCTGGTGAGGACTTCGGAGTAACTGAAGAGGCTACCCCTCAAGACTCCATCTCTGGTGTCACACTGGGTCCAGGGATACATCCACATGGAGATCAGAATCTGGCTCAGAGTGGACATGTTCAATAAAGCGGATAGCTTCCTGAATTAATGCACTCGGTAATGGTGTACCTCTGACAAACGGAAAGTACATTGATACCCGAGTCCCATAAATAATAATGTCCCCCTGCTCCCAGCCTTGTAACACTGTTCTCCTGGAGAACAGTTAATATGGAAGATTACATGAATTATGTAGAGAGGAAAGCTAGTCGAGTGAACATTAAGGCCTCGTAGGCACAGGATTTAGAGACATTTTCATAAAAGGCAGGCGATCTTAATCACACTTCAATAATTTATGGGACATTTATAAAAACATTGACAACTTGTGAATTGCTTCATTACTTTGAATAATAACGTTCCAAAGAACAAAGAGGCAACAGCACCCTATTCACTCCCTTGCTGGCTTGCAAAGTTTCGTGATAGCTAGCACTGTGCCACAAACCTGTTATTTTCAGCAGGGAATACATGTATATAAATAAAAGCAATTTATAGCAAAACTTCTGCAAAACATAATACTACACAATAATTACAAAGGACTCAGTTTACTGGGTGTTTGATAGCACTCTGACTTCATCTTTCTGTGTTATTCTTATGAACAGTGTGAAACCTTTGTACAGGTTGAGTTAAAAGCTTGGTTGTTTCATACCCATCATTCTTCAAGGGCAAGAATAAATTAATCATAGCCCCCCCTACCTAAAACAAGAGGATTATGTGAACCCATCCCATAAATTCAGATGGCGTGGATGGAGGGTTTTTTGCTAAGAACTGTTTGGGGGGGGGGGGAAAGAGAGAGAGAGAAAGTGTGTGTGTGTGTGTGTGTAACACAGAATGAGAAAGATCGCACATATGTGCCTGAAGAGATCCAAGCAGAAGACTGTAAGCATGGTATGACCCTGAAAGAAACCTAGAGAGAGGTTCTGGGTTGGGGGCACTGGCTGAAAAGAAGCTTGGGCCTGTAAGAGAAGATC